AGTGACATGATCTCAGCTCACCGCAACCTCCGCCTCCTGGGTTCAAGCGATTCTCCTGCCTTAGCCTTCCAAGTAGCTGGGATTACAGGCATGCACCACCATGCCCGGCTAATTTTGTATTTTTACTACAGACGGGGTGTATCCCTGTTGGTCAGGCTGGTCTTTAACTCCTGACCTTAGGTGATCTGCCGATCTCAGCCTCCCAAAGTTCTGGGGTTACAGATGTGAGCCACCACGCCTGGCCTCCCTTACATCTTAACATAATAATTGCTACTATTTATTGAGCACGTAGAGTAGAATAGTGTACTATTATAGTAAGGGCTCTCTGTATATTATACTGTGGTATAATATAGGTAGAACTCTTAGGATAGTACCTTGAAGAGTCAGGTACTACCCTGTGGGCTTTGTGTTTTTTAACTCCTTTAATCCATTTAATCTGTACACCAACCCTCCGAAGTAGGTACTATTATTGCCCCCTTTTGCAGATGAGGCAACTGAGACACAGAATCATTAAGTAACTTGCCCAAAGTCAAACAATGAGTAAATGTAGAACCAAGATTTGAACCCACACTGAAGGGTTCTGGAATGGAATGGATCTGATAGACTAGCTGATTCAAGCTTAGGGCCCACATCCTGTGTATTTGCAGCCAGCATTGTTTATCTGGTTTCTATTGAAGTAGCTACTGGAGCAGAGTGATGGAGAGGTGGCATTGTGTTATGGTAGAAAAACCTGGGGCTAGGAATGAAAAATGCCAGTCTTGGGCAGATCACAGTAACTTTTCTGAGTCTTCATTTTATCACCTCTAATATGGGTATTCTAATGTCAATCTGTGCATGTTTGGGTCATGTTTTGCCATTTATAGAGTACCTTTACATGTTGTATCATTAATCTCTTTTGCCTGCCTTGCAGAGCTGTTACAAGATCAAACGAATTATATACAGGAGAGGCATAATGGATTGTTGTTGCTTTTTGAAGGATTTGCTTTTCTCTTTCAGTATTGTGTTTCATCAAGAGTGAACTATTTAAAAAATTCAGATTTCCTTGAATATTTAAGGTATAGATGCTGTCTATTCTGTAACTCTATGCATGATCTCCTCCTACCATTTTCATACATAGTTCTGGTACCCAAGTATTGTATCAAATAGAAGTTATAGTCAGTTCCATTTTCTGCCTTAGTGAACAGGAAATGTAGTAGGCACGGATAATCCAAAATAATTGGCTAGCTTTTGGGGTGCAGTTTTGTACTTAATTTGAGTATGTATGGCTGAGAATTCAGAGCGCTTTAAGTATTGATCCTCTTTGGAAAACACAGCTTGAGATTAATCATGTTTTTCAGACCCTTGGTATCTTTTCTACCCCACTTGTTTCATTGTTTCCAGTTCAGGAGCCCAGCAGAGATGGTAGCACCTCCTTCCTCTGTCTCCTGCCTTTCTCACACATATGCCTTGTGGTAAAGGTACAGGCAGGAGGCTGGGGGAGAGAAGGGTTCTTTTACAGTTAAAAAATATTTTTTTTTAAACTTAAGATGATGGAGGGAACCTCAAAAATTTATTTTCTTTCTTGAGCAGTGTTGACATCAACAAGAAGATAACAGATATTAAGGTGTCTAGGCTTCTGAGGTTGAGACCATCTTGAGGGGGAAATCTACAGTTCTAGGAGCAGTCACAGTCAAAGCAGCACAATGAAAACTTATTCTTAGCACTTTGGACTTTCACACTACCACTAGTATAAACCTTTGTGGTCTCTACTTTGTCTGTAACCCATGAGGTTGTGCTTGTACCAGTCAATAATGCAAGGCTGTCTCAGTCTGTTTGAGCTGCTATGACAAAATACCATAAACTGAGTGGCTTAGAGAGAACAGAAATTTATTTCTCACAGTTCTGGAGGTTGGGAAGTTCAAGATCAAGTCATCATAGAGCTACAGTTCTGAAGGGTAAAAATAAAGAAAAAAAAGATCAAGGCACCAGCAGATTTGGTGTTTGATGAGGTCCCACTTTCCGGTTCATAGAATGGTTCTTTCTTGCTGTGTCCTCACATGATGGAAGGGGACAATGGGGAAAGGCCTCTGGAGCCCCTTTCCTTCCGTTTCCCTTTCCCTTTCCTTTCCCCTTTCCTTTCCTCTTTCCTTTCCTCTCCTTTCCTTTCCTCTCCTTTCCTTTCCTCTTTCCTTTCCTTTCTTCTTTCCTTTTCTTTCTTTTCTTTCTCCTTCTGAGATATGGTCTCATGCTTTTACCCGGGCTGGAGTGCAGTGACTTAATCATACATCACTGTAACCTTGAACTCTTGGGCTCAAGTGATCCTCCCACCTCAGCCTCCTGAGTAGTTAGGACTGTGAGCCATTGCACCTGGCTAATTTTTGAATATTTTTTTGTAGTAACGGGATCTTGCCGTATTGCCCAGGCCAGTCTCCAACTCCTGGCTTCAAGTGATCCTCCCACCTCAGCCTCCCAACGCCCTGGGATTACAGGCATGAACCATTGTACTTTGACCTGGGGCCTCTTTTATAAGGGTACTAACCCCATTTATGAGGGCAGAGCCCACTCATGACCTACTCACCTCCCAAAGGCCCAACCTCCTAATACTATTACACTAGTGATTAGGTTTCAGCATATGAATTGAGGAGAAAAATTTATCTTTACTGTTTCTTTTCATGATGGCAGCCTTACTTTCTCTTGAGCTTTTTGTTACAAGTGTGATGTTCAAAACAAGGGAAGCTCATGATATTGCCCTGCTTTGTGCTGGGCAGACCTCTCTTTCATGTTATGTTTGGTTCTGAATACCTCACTTCGATGTATAGTATCAACCTAGAGTGTGATCTAAAGAAAGGGCCAGAATAGTAAGGGGAGTTAATCAATAAAGTGGAGGTTGGCAGAACTAGAAAACAGAAGACTTGCAGAGGAAAGGTTGCTTATAATAGGAATACTCAAATTTCTGAAAGGCTCTTCTGTCATAGAGGAAATAGAATTATGACTGTTAGTGAAAATAACCATTTTTTGAGGGCCTACTCTGTTGAGATGTTGTACTAGGCACTTGCTCTATGTTGCATATATTGCAGGGCACGTACCATCTCTCTCTAACAGATGATGAAACTGAGACTCAGAGGTATAGTCATGTTCAAGGCCAAATGGTTATTAGTCCTGTTGCAGTTAAAACTAAGGGCTGTCTAATTCCAAAGCCTGTTAACCATCAGGTTGTACCAATTCCCAGTGGACAGAGATCACAGGGAGACAGACCTCAGGCAGCAGGAGGGAGATGCTAACCATTCCAGCTGTTCTGTGTACACTTTAGAGGAGGCCTTTAAGCAGAACGTAAAGCATCCCTCACTTGGGCTGCCATAAAGAGAGTTTTTTTTTTGAAATGGAGTTTTGCTGTTGTTGCCTAGCCTGGAGTGCAATGGTTTGATCTCAGCTCCCCACAACCTCCGCCTCCCGGGTTCAAGTGATTCTCCTGCCTCAGCCTCCCGAGTAGCTGGGATTACAGGCATGTGCCACCACACCTGGCTAATTTTGTATTTTTAGTCGAGATGGGGTTTCTCCATGTTGATCAGGCTGGTCTTGAACTCCTGACCTCAGATGATCCACCCACCTCGGCCTCCCCAAGTGCTGGGATTACAGGCGTGAGCCACCGCACCTGGCCTAAGAGAGTTTGTATGTTGGAAAGATGAACTTTGAAGTTATATTCCTCTGCTTCTCTTCCCGTGTAATCTTCTGAGCTCCCTTCCAGGTCCAGGCCAAGCTATTCCTGCCTTTTTGTTCTCAGTGATCCTTGTTTGGTTCTGAGAACCCATTTCCGGCCCTACCTTTAGTGAGGTACCATCATGTAGGGATTATTTGGATAATTTCTGTCCTTAAGCAAAATGAATTTTGTGTAGAGGCTTTTACTTATTCTTTTTTAAAGTTGTAGTTCAGCATAATAATGATTATGTGGCATCTGTGGCACTGTCGTAAAGGTTCCTTGAATTGTGCTAAACGTAAATATAATGAGAGGTACCCTGTGCTCTACAAGTCTGAATCTTTTACCAGTCTGTTGTATAACCATGGCTGCTCTTTGATGAAAATACCAACGCAGAGGCCGGGCGCAGTGGCTTAAGCCTGTAATCCCAGCACTTTGGGAGGCCAAGACAGGCAGATCACGAGGTCAGGAGATCGAGACCATCCTGGCTAACACGGTGAAACCCCGTCTCTACTAAAAAATACAAAAAATAGCCGGGCGAGGTGGCAGGCGCCTGTAGTCCCAGCTACTCGGGAGGCTGAGGCAGGAGAATGGCGTAAACCCGGGAGGCGGAGCTTGCAGTGAGCCGAGATCGTGCCACTGTACTCCAGCCTGGGCGACAGAGCGAGACTCCGTCTCAAAAAAAAAAAAGAAAATACCAATGCAGGTCTTGCAGTAGGGAAGTTGGGGGGAGATATACAGTCCCTGGGCTGTACAACAGAATTTTTTTTTTTTTTTTTTTGAGACAGTCTCACTCTGTTGCCCAGGCTGGAGTGCAATGGCACAATGTCAGCTCACTGCAGCCTCCGCCTCCTGGGTTCAAGTGATTCTCGTGCCACAGCCTCCCAAGTGGCTGGGATTACAGGCACTCACCACCACGCCCGGCTAATTTTTGTATTTTTATTAGAGATGGGATTTCACATGCTGGCCAGACCAGCCTCAAACTCCTGACCTTAGGTGATCTGCCCACCCCAGCCTCCCAAAATGCTAGGATTACAGGCATGAACTACTGCGCCCAGCATTGTACAACAGAACTTTAACAACAGTTGCTCAGATAATGATGGGGATATAAAGAGCTGGGAAAGAGCTCATCTTGAAATGCTTCCTGGAATATGCTTACATCTTAAAAGATTGTAGAGAATGTTGATTCTTCCCCAAGAAATTGACAAATTCATGTTTTACATAATGATATTTGATTGTATAAAGTAATTATACTGATTTTAAAATGTCAAAACAATGAATATATTTGTAATTTTTTGTTAATAAAGTGCATAATTTTTTTTTGTAGTTTATTCACCTTGATGATGATTGCGTAACAGAACTTTCTGTACATCACAGAAACAACAGGCAAACAATGGAGGCTTTAATTTCACTGGTAAGAAATACAGCACGAGCTGGGTGCAGCAGCTCACGCCTGTAATCCCAGCACTTTGGGAGGCCGAGGTGGGAGGATCACTTCAGGTCAGGAGTTCGAGACCAGCCTGGCCAGTGTGGTGAAACCCCGTCTCTACTAAAAGTACAAAAATTAGCTGGGTGTGGTGGCACGTGCCTGTAATCCTAGCTACTCAGGAGGCTGAGGCACGAGAATCACTTGAACCCAGGAGTCAGAGGTTGCAGTGAGCTGAGATCCCGCCCCTGCACTGCAGCCTGGGCGACAAGAGCTAAACTCCATCTCAAAAAAGAAAAAGAAAAAAAAAATACAGCAATACAGCATGAATTTGAGAGTAATATCTTTTGTTTCATTGTTCTTTATTTTATCAGTACATGAAAAATAGTGTAGCATTTTCAGACCTATGATTTTATTATGGGTACAAATATTGCATTTAAAAATATTTACATATGATTTCCACACAATCCTGATGTGTGCTAGATATTTTCTTTAAAAATGAACACTCCATACTTAAAACATTGATGAAGAAGCATTACAGTGAAAAAATAATTAAGAAACAACTGGCCGGGCGCGGTGACTCAGGCCTGTAATCCCAGCACTTTGGGAGGCCAAGGCGGGTGGATCATGAGGTCAGGAGATGAAGACCATCCTGGCTAACACAGTGAAACCCTGTCTCTACTAAATATACAAAAAAATTAGCCGGGCGTTGTGGCGGGCCCCTGTAGTCCCAGCTATTCGGGAGGTTGAGGCAGGAGAATGGCGTGAACCTGGGAGGCGGAGTTTGCAGTGAGCCAGGATTGTGCCACTGCACTCCAGCCTGGGTGACAGAGCGAGACTCCAGCTCAAAAAAAAAAAAAAGAAACAACAAACTAGTGCACAAAGAATGGACAGAGTTCTAATTTTGACTACTTTAAAGTTCTCTAACGTGCAACTGGGTTTCTGCTGTGGAAATGAGGTAAACACAAAGCAATTTTCTTCTCACCTGAAAGCAACAGCAGCGTCACATCACCCCTAAGTGGACAAACCAAATACCATGAAAGCGTCATCATGATTTCTGGTGTTTGATTATTTTGGCTCTTTCAGATGCTCAGTCTCTAGATCATACCTGTGTTGTTTGTGTGTGTGTGTGTGTGTGTTTTAAGAGATCAAGGTAGTCACAGCTGTCTCTAATGTGAAGAGTGACTTGTACGTCACTTTGTTCCTGGCCCAGTGCTATGTCTTCTATCACCTGTAATTTATGTTTGCTTTATCTGTTCTTTAACTTGCAAGGTGGAGTCCTTAAGCAATTAAAAAAAAAAATCAAACAAAGCTTTGCTAAGGCACAATTCTTTTCAGTAAGGAGAAAATATAAAGAAATTCTTTTGAACGACATAATAAGTAAAGACAAACAGAATGTATCTGGAAATGGTAGTGTAATTTACTTTTTCATGGATAATGCCTTTAGGGGAATAGTAAGAATTGGGAATTGCTGTAAGATTGGTATGGTCCTTAGTCTTTCATTAGTGAAAATTTGAAGTTTCCATTTAAGCCACCTAAAAAAATAAATTGTAGGACATTTTCTTTGGGGTGGTCTTTAATGGAAGACTATACTTTAGATACTGAAATTTTAAAAAATGTTATTATAGAAAAATTTTCCCACCAAAGTAGAGAGAATAGTATAACAACACTGAGTTTCCATGTTCTCATCATTCAGTTTCAATAGTTAATAACGTTTTGCCAATTTAATCTGTATCCTACCACTTTCTCCCTTCCTCCCTTTCCAGCTGGGATATTTCCAAGTAAATCCCAGATAGCATGTCATTTTATCCAGGACAAATTGGTGTGAGATCCACAAACTTTAAAAATCTGAATCTTAAATGTAACATACTTAAGCCAGGCGCGGTTCCTCATGCGTGTAATGTCAGCACTTTGGGAGTCGGAGGTGGGCAGATCATGAGCTCATGAGATCAAGGCCGACATGGTGAAACCCCGTTTCTACTAAAAATACAAAAATTAGCTGAGTGTGGTGGCACGCCCCTGTAATCCCAGCTACTTGGGAAGCTGAGGCAGGAGAAAGACATGAACCCGGGAGGCGGAGGTTGCAGTGAGCCAAGATCGCGCCACTGCAATCCAGCCTGGTGACAGAGTGAGACTCCGTCTCAAAAAAAAAAAAAAAAAAAAGTAACATACTTAAGAGTTTCAATAATCATTGAAAAAAAAGTCTTTAAAATGGTATATTTTATGACATCTCTACCTATAATTGTCAGACTTAAAAGTGAAATGGAAATACAAATTATTTGCTTTCCTTCTGATGCATAAAACATAACAAAGCATAGTAGAGGTTGTTTCCTAGTGTTACAACTCTCTAAAGAGCTTCTCAGTTATTCTTAAAGTTAAGCATGACCAACATCAATAATGCAGTGAGGAAAGTAATATTTTTTATTCCTTTGTACTTTTCTGTCATTCTTAAATCCCTGTTCATACTTCATTGAGTCCCAGGGATGAGTAGGATATAGGCTACTCACTCTCAATCAGAGATTCTCACCTTGGCTGTACAGTGGAATTTCTTGGGAACTTTAATCCTGATGTTTAGGTCTCAACCCCACAGATGATGATTCAGTTGGTCTGGGGTTTGGCCAAGGCATCAGAATTTTTTTTAAAGCTTCCCAGTTGATTGTGGTATGCAGCCAGAGTTGAGAAGTAGTGCTCTAGATTCTTGCTGTTCAATGTGTGGTCTAGGACCAGCAGCATCAGCATCAACATCTAGGTGCTTATTAGCCATGCAGAATCTCAGGCCCCACCTCAGACCTACTGAATTGGAATCTGTGTCAAATCTCCAAGTGGTTCATATGGTCAGTAAAGCTTCAGAAGTGTTGGTCTAGGTCAGTTCTCAACCAGGAGTGATTTTGGCACTCAGGGGGCATTTGGCAGTGACTAGAGACATTTTTGGTTGTCATAACTGGGGTTTGTGTATGTGTACTAATGCCATCCAGTGGGTAGAGGCCAGGGATGCTGCCAAACATCCTTCAATGCACAGAAGAGCCCCTCACAACAAACAGTTATCCAGGTCAGACGTCAACAGTGCCAAGGTTGAGAAACCCTTGTCTGGGTAGCTCAGGGAATTCATACTGGCTCTACATACTTTCCAATTTGAACAGCCTCAGAAAACCAGGTTTGAGATTAGCCAGCGTCTGTTATGTTTTTCTGTGACATCCTGAGACCTCTGCCTTCACTTTTGGGGCTGATGAGACAGGACAGAGAGAGATTAGATTAGATTGGATTAGTGTGATCTATATGCTGGTATGGTGCTGCTGATCTTTGTACAGAGAGAGAGAGAGTAACAATATTTCTCTCAAACATTCAACTCATAATGTGTCTGGAATTGATGGGTTCTTGGTCTCGCTGTCTTCAAGAATGAAGCCATGGACCCTTGCGGTGTTATAGTTCTTAAAGATGGTGTGTCCAGAGTTTGTCCCTTCAAACGAGTTCAAATGTGTCTGCAGCTGCTTCTTTCTGGTGGGTTCGTGGTTTCGCTGACAGGAGTGAAGCTGCAGACCTTTGCGGTGTTACTCATAAAGGCAGCATGGACCCAAAGAGTGAGCTGCAGCAAGATTTATTGCAAAGAGCAAAAGAACAAAGCTTCCACAGCCTGGAAGCAGACCTGAGCGGGTGGCCACTGCTAGCTAGGGCAGCCTGCGTTTATTCCCTTATCTGACCCCACCCACATCCTGCTGATTGGTCCATTTTACAGAGAGCTGATTGGTGCATTTACAATCCCTGAGCTAGACACAGAGTGCTAGACAGAAAAGTTCTCCAAGTCCCCACCTAGGTTAGCTAGATACAGAGTACCAATTGGTGTATTTACAAACCCTGAGCTAGACACGGAGTGCTGACTGGTGCATTTACAATCCTTGAGCTAGACACAGAGTGCTAGACAGAAAAGTTCTGGAAGTCCCCACTAGGTTAGCTAGATACAGAGTACTGATTGGTGTATTTACAAACCCTGAGCTAGACACAGAATGCTGATTGGTGTATTTACAATCCCTTAGCTAGACATAAAGGTTCTCCAGGTCCCCACTAGACTCAGGAGCCAGCTGGCTTCACCTAGTGGATCCCCGCACTGGGGCTGCAGGCAGAGCTGCCCACCAGTCCCCAGCGGTACCTGCACTCCTCAGCCCTTGGGCGGTCGATGGTACCCGTTGCCATGGAGCAGGGGGTGGCAGGGGGCGGCGCCCGTGGGGAGGCTTGGGTAGCGCGGGAGTCCACGGCGGAGGGGGTGGCTAGGACATGGCGGGCTGCAGGTCCCCAGCCCTGACCTGCGGGGAGGCGGCTGAGGTTCAGCGAGATTTTGAGCGCCGTGCATGTGTGCAGGCGGTGCTGAGGAGCCCCAGGCAACCTCAGCAGCTGCTGGCCTGGGTGCTAAGCCCCTCACTGCCCTGGACCAGCGGTGCTGGTCGGCTGCTCCGTGTGCGGGTCCGCTGAGCCCACACCGGCGCCTGGGCCCGCGGGAACTTGTGCTGGCCCACGAACGCGGCGTGCAGCCCCGGTTCCCGCCTGCGCCTCTCTCTCCACACTTCCCCGCAAGCAGAGGGAGGTGGCTCTGGCCTCAGCCAGCCCAGAGAGGGGCTCCCACAATGCCGTGGTGGGCTGAAAAACTCCTCAAGCGCCGCCAGAGTGGATGCTGAGGCCGAGGAGGCCCCGAGAACGAGGATTGCTAGCACGTTGTCACCTCTCAATAAGAACTCCCACTTTTATATTATATACAGGAGCACTCTGGTACTGCTTTTTATATGCAGCAGTGAGTCTCCTATGTCTTGTGATTTTGACTGATCTCATTGTATTCCTTTTGAGATTCCCAACAGTACTTTGCTTACTTTCTCCCTGTTCCTCCAGCCCTGAGTGGCTCTGGATTGTGGCAGCAGCCAGTCCTCTACTAGAGGACCTTCACTAAGGGTCACATGTGTGTTCGAGAACCTATTCAGTCCAGGACAGATCCATTTTCCCCA